GTCGATGTCTGTACATTATAGATATTAAAGAAAAATTAATGTGGGGGGTCTTTGTTAGAGCACCAGAAGCCAAATCAACCATTTTTAGAATTTTTGTCTGTCTGTCTGTCTGTATGTTTGCACGCGCATCACTCGAAAACATGGATTTCAAAAGAAGGAGGCTTAAGATGGCTTACAGGCAAACATTTTTTTTATAGTTGCCACCTGTTTGAAAATTTTAATTTAATTAATAAGATAAATTGAATATTGCAATATGGGTATCCAACTGAAGAGGCTTAGGAAATTTTATTGCCTAAAATATTTTTAGGGAGGGTTGCCACCTGTTTGAAAAATTGTATTGTATTAAATTGATAAAGTAAATGAAATTTTTATCTATACTTATAGTAAAATTTAAACGGTGACAGGTAACAAGATCAACAGCAATAAGGTCAATTCACTTTATTTCCCACACTGGTGCGAAATAAAGTCAATTTACATTATTACCTTTTCGAAAGCGAAATAAAGTCAACAACAATTTGGAAATAAAGTCATTGCCGCTATTTCCTCATTCAAATGGAAATAGCGTAAACAATTCTTAGGGTATGTCGATTCATAGAAAAAAATGTTGTTCTTACAATAAAAATTGCCGCGTAAGGTTTGTTTTTTAATAGATGAAAGAGGTTATTGGCAAATCCTCAGTGTGGTGCTTTTAATCCACACACAACCATGATTGATTTTATTAAAAAACTTAAAATTACGAATATAGTAAAAACACGATGCGAAAAACTATACGCAAAACGCAGCTGGATTACGAGAAATATTTGAAGAACGAGTGTAGAAATGATCCTGAACTTGCATAACATGTTTCGTTTCCACAAAAATAAAGCGAACACTATTAAATTGAAGAAACAGTCCATGTCCAAAAACCCCGGAGGAACACTGAGAGAATTCTTGGTTTTAAATTAGCATATTTTGAACGAATTCGGAATGTCTAAGGTGGAAAAGAAACCAACCTTTTTATAAAGAAACAACTATATAAAAGGAATTATCTTACACTGTATTCATATCTCCGCCAGCAATTTGTGACGACATCATTTAAAAGCAGCTAAGGAGAACGACGACACTATTTATTAGATGGCAGATTCAAGTCAATGTGCCAAAAAGAGGGTATAAACAATTATTGATTATTTAATATCGGAATCGAGATCATGTAAGTTAATTGATTGGTTTTTACACTTTCGAAACACAAATAATATGACTTTTACTGCTGACAAGTTGTTGCCAAAACACAGCAGAAATCTTCCAATAACTTACAAATATAAAAATGTGAAATATCGAGGGCTTAAATTCATTAATACCCTCTATCTGCAATTTGCACAAAAACTAATTTGTGATTTTAGAAACCATCTGGGACTTATTACCTGTCATCACTGATATCCCAGCAAAAAACATGACTACCACAGAAGCGAGAGTGGAAACGAGCTAGGCGATGGGAATCACTTACCCTTTCGCTTCAAGAAGGCATTATTTTAACATGGGCATGTCATTGGCGCTAAGCCCTTACCCGCAGCATTACCTTCAAACGAAGGGAGAACGCGTGGATAAACAGAATCCAGAATAATGCCTTACAGAGAAACTAATGTAGAATGCCTAGATAAGTACATACTTATTTATATTAAATTGAAATCAGAAAATGTCTTAAAAGATTAAAATTAATTAAAATTTTTATAAATCACTTTTTTTATACATACATATGTATGTATTTAGGAATCTAGATTTTACTTAAAAATCGGTATGTACATACATGCATATTTAATTAAGCTTAAAATTGTACTTCCTCACTCTTGTACTTCACTTCATTGACTGACTTCAACTTCGCTGCAAATTGTGCTAGACAAATTCCCACAGAAAGTAACGGTAGAAAAAGAATTTTTGGATATTCATTCTATTTTCGAGCTGACTACGATGCAGCATTCTACTTTGCATTCTCCGAAATGAAGCAAAGAAGCGAAATTAAAAAAATATTGTAGGACATTCTACTTTGCATTCCCTGAAATGAAGCAAAGAAGCGAACCAAATAAACTATTGTAGGACATTCTACTTTTTATTCCCTGAAATGAAGCAAAGAAGCGAAACAAATAAAATATTGTAGGACATTCTACTTTGCATTCCCCGAAATAAATAAAATATTGTGAAATATTGCGAAATAAATAAATATTGCGAAGCGAAAAAATTCGAAGGCATTATAACGCTATGCCTTCTAGAACACGTTACCACTAAAAGCGATTACCGATTTTTTGCTGGGATATTACTTCTAATTTCCAATTTATAATAGTGTAGCGGCGTAGCGTGACGTGGTGTGGCGCGCCGGTCGTGCGGGGTACGCGGAGCGCCAGCGCAGCGCACGCGGTGTGGCACGCGGACGCGGGCCGTCGCGAAGCAAAGTAAATTTAATTTTTGAAAGAGCAATAATGTCAATGGATTTTATTTCGCTTTTGAAAAGGTAATAATGTCAATTCACTTTATTTCGCACCAGGGTGGGGAATAAAGTCAACTGACCTTATTTCCGTTGATCTTATTACCTGTCACCGATTTTTTTTTGTAACAGAACAGGCTTTAGTACAAATGCAAAAATTTGGCACAGAACCTGTTATTTTTTTAATTTTTCTTCTGTTAAATTTAGATTTTTTTCATTTTTACATTAAAAAATTAAAAACGCTGGAATGATAAATTAATTTGTCAGAAACTATAAGCCCTATCGTAAAGTGATGTATACACGGTTTATAGAGAATTTCATTGGCTTTCATTTTTTATATTATGATTTTAAAATTGGTTCGTAAGATATACGTGATTAAAAGGAACCAGTTTTTGCTTTAAGCCGAATAACGGTAAATTGCAAATATCTCAAAAACGTATCCATAAAAAAAAAATTAACTCGATCTTCGGAATCACCGAGCAATTCTACATAGGAATTGGATAGTGGCGTCTGGAGAACAAAAACCAAATTAAAATTTGTGATCCAGTTTAAGTGGCACACTATACGATAGCAGCTGTGAAATCGCCGAGCATTTAAACAAATTATTTGCGGACAGTATAATTGAGATTAACAGCAATATAAAAGACATTGGTGATGACTCAATCCAACCGGCAAAATCTCAAACTACATTTAAATTCGAAGAAATTAGACGGAAGATATCATCCAAATTGTTAAGAAATTTAAGAGAAAAATCAATGGAAATAACACTATTGGAGGGTGTCATTAAAGACTCAGTCGAATACATGGGCCACTTCTACGCGTTATTAATAAATAAGAGTCTGCAATCTGGAACTGTACCAAAAGAATGTACCATGGATACCACTTCTACGAAAAGTTGTTTTTCCCCATATAAAATACATGGAAAACTTTGGGTGCTTTAAGCGACTTCTAAAAATTTTTTGATTTCAAAATAAAAAAATAGGGGTATACTTTTTTCGATATAGAACAATGCTAGGGGGTGAGAGCATTAAAATTCCGACCTTACTTCTTTTGGACCACCCTAATTTACATACACCCACTATAATTGTTCTTAAGTGTTCAGTCAAAAATATTTGAAACAAAAAATTCAAATAAAATACGCTTACTTCGAAGTTTTTGTTTAGATTCTTCGCGTATTTCGTTCCTCTTCTCTCCCTCGCTAATTTGAATATATTTATGTATGTACATCTATACATAGTATAAAGAAAAGGCAAGATATATTTTAACCATGCTACTGAACGGATTAAGACAAGATTTTTTATGTATATAATAAACGAAGTACATGATGACATATGATGCGAAGCTTCGCGCATCCGTGGCCGGCTAGTAGATCTATAATAGAACCACACTTTTATATATTGTCCAACGATCTTTTTAATGGCAAGCGACACACAAATCGACAAATTACAAAAAATGCAAAACAGAGCAATGCGATTTATACTGAAAAAGCGTCACGATGCACCCACACGAGAAATGCTCGCCGATATGAAATGGCTGAGTGTTAAGCAGCAAATTTTTTATCACGCCATGAAATTCGTTTTCAATATAAAGAATGGTCGACAATCTCAGATATATAAATGAAACTCATTCATACATACTCAGGGAAAATAATAGCTTTAGATTGCCGTTATATAGGACAGAAGTGGATAAAATGAACATATTCTACAAAGGATTAAAGTGTTTTAACGAACTACCGCCACAAACAAGAAATTGGAAACTAGTACTTTCCATCCGGCCGGGCTGCTCTGGATCCGATCCACTTAGACAGCCTGCTGAATCTGCAAATCTTGACAGAGTCGAAGCACCAATCCCAGAAGCGTCGTCCTTCTACCCTATCCAACTGTGTTGCTCTGGATCTAGTCCATTCAGACAGCCTGTATAACATCCGAAATCCTGATCGAACTGAAGCAACAATATCAGAAGTGAGGGTGCAGATTAGAAACTAGTCCTTTCCAACTGCCCAAACAACTGAAGCAACAATATGAGAAGTAAAGCTTCAGATTGGAAACTAGTGATTTCCAACTGCCCTAAAAACTGAAGCAACAATGTGAGAATGAAGGTGCAGATTGGAAACTAGTCCTTTCCAACTGCCCTAACAACTGAAGCAATAATGTGAGAAGTGAAGGTGTAGATTGGAAACTAGTGCTTTTCAACTGCTCTAAAAACTGAAGCAACAATGTGAGAAGTAAAGGTGCAGATTGGAAACTAATGCTTTCCAACTGCTCTAATAACTGAAACCAAAATGTGAGAAGTGAAGGTGCAGATTGGAAACTAGTCCTTTCCTCCAACTGCCCTAACAATACGGCTCTGGAACTTGCCTGTTCAGACCACTTGTCTAGTTTGCCTGCTCTGCCGTATGATTGGAAACTGCAATTGCATTTTCTCAGAATTTCAGAACTTGTACTCGATTATTCAAATAAATTGAAGTGAAGCGTCGGAACTTTTTGGAAGGGGCAATTGCATATTTCTATTCATGCGGTCCAATATAGACAGATGTAATATAATATATATAGTTTTTGTATACATAATGTCATAATTGATAATTTTTGCAATAAGAACATCACAATTCATATACGAATGATGAATGAATATGTACAAATATCATAGTTGTATTATTAAGTCGTAAGACTGTAACAAATAAATAAATAAAATAAATTTTCTCATGGGTCTTTTCCAAGATTTGACGTATTGTGAATACCTGGTCTATGGTGGATTTGCCAGATCTAAAGCCGCACTGATAAGGCCCAATCAGTTCATTGACGGTGGGCTTCAGCCTTTCACACAATACGCTCGATAAGACCTTGTAACCTATGCTTAGAAGGCTGATCCCGCGGTAGTTGGCACGAATGGCGGGGTCATCTTTCTTGTGGATTGGGCAGAGCACACTTAAATTCCAGTCGTCGGGCATGCGTTCATCTGACCATATTCTGCACATGAGTTGATGCATGCACCTTATCAACTCTTTGCCGCAGTACTTGAATAGCTCAGCTGGCAGGCTGTCAGCTCCAGCAGCTTTGTTGTTTTTCAGGCGCGTTATTGCTATTCGTACCTCGTCATAGTCACACGGTGGAACGTCGACACCGTCATCATCGACTGCGGGCTCGGATTCTTTTTCTCCACAACTTTCCGTGCTGCTACCATTTAGTAGGGCGGAAAATTTTTCCCTCCATAATTTAAGTACGCTCTGGACATCGGTTACTAGGTCGCCATTGTTGTTCTTACAAGAGTACGCCCTGGTCTTGAAACCTTCCGTAAGTCGCCTAACTCTCTGGTAAAACGGAAACAATGAAAACGCACGATTTTTTATTGCATAGCTTTCACTATATATCGTAGTATTGATTTAAAAAAAGCTACGCAACCGAAAATTTGCAATATATCGAAGTATTGTTTTTTTTTTAAAGCGCCCCATTTTTTATTACAAACTTTCAATATATATTGAAGTATTGATTTTAAAGAAAAGCGCAGCCGCCGAAAGTTTGTAATAAAAAATCGCGTAATTTTTGGTTAGATGTTTCATTAAGTATCGAGATATTGAATTTAAAAAAAAGCGCCGCAGGCGAAAATTTGATAATTTTTGATTAACAATTTTCAATATATATTGAAATATTGAATTAAAAAAAGTGTCGTAAGCCAAAATTTGTAATAAAAAATCGCGCGACTTTTTATTAAAAATTTTCAATATTTATGAAAGTATTGAATAAAAAAAATTTGCGTGGTTTTATATGACAAATTTTCACTTTGTAATAAAATATTGTTTTGCCTTGAAAATTTTATATTTTATATACCTTATGTTGTTGTTGTTGTTGTAGCGGCTACAACATCCCCGCCCAGGACGGTTGGTATCTCAGTCGTTGTCGTCAAGTTCCACTAACGGCAACCCTAGGAAGCGTGCAGCTTCTGTGGGGTTTGTCCACAGGGACAAGGCCGTTAGGGTTGTCGGGTTTTCCGGGCATGCGAAGAGATGTTTCGAGTCATGTGGGGTCTCTCCGCATGCCGGACACTCATTCGGCACATCCTCATTCAACCTACTCAAGTAGGAGTTCAACCTGCTGCAGTAGCCGGAGCGAAGTTGTGCGAGTGTTGTGCGTGTCTCCCGAGGCAGATGAGGCTCCGTCTCGTCTATGTCCGGGGGTGGTATGCCTAGAACGGCATTCACAGGTCTAGAGTCTACATAACTCGAGACTGAGTCCCTGTGAATGCCGTTCAGGACCTCTGGACTTCGTCCGTCAGTTCATATAGATGCCTCCTGACGTGGCTAGGCGAGGGCTCCTCTGCAAGCAGCTGTCTGCTTGGGTGGCCACTTCTGTGGCTCCCGATCAGGAACTGCTTGCAGAGCATTATATTATGCTCCTTTACAGGGAGCATTTGCGCCTCGCCGTGCAGGTGGTGTTCAGGCGACATCAAGAGGCATCCTGTCGCTGTCCTGAGTGCGGTGTTCTGTACAGTCTGTAGCTTCGTCCACTGCGTCCTACTAGTCCCTGGCGACCACACTGGCGCTGCGTAGTTCAAAACCGGCCGGCCTATTGCCTTGTATGTTGCCAGCAACGTTTCTTTGTCTTTGCCCCAAGTACTGCCGGCTAGCGACTTGAGGGCCTTGTTGCGGCTCTGTACTTTATTGACAATAGCGGTTGAGTGCGCAGAGAAGGAGAGCAGGCTGTCGAATGTTACTCCGAGTATTTTGGGGTTATTCACCGTCGGAATTGGTGTGTCATCGACGTGAATCCCCAGCGGTAGCCTGACGTCCTTCGTCCAGGTTGTGAACAGGGTCGCGGAGGATTTCGTAGGGGAGAGGGCTAGATACTTTGCAGTGAAGAAGCGAGAAAGTTCGGAGAGATAGCCGTTTACTTTCGAACACAGGTCATCAATTCCATTCCCAGTCGCCATGATCGAGCAATCGTCGGCATAAGAGACAATTATATACCTTATATTTCGTAATGCCTCACAAAGTATATTTGGGTAAAGTTTTCAACGATATGGCTGTTGTGTTTCGGGCTTTATATTTTATCTAATCAATTTTATCGATTATCTCATCTTTGTGTACCTTATTTTTCTATTCTATGTTTTATCGTATATCGATTTGTCTAACAGTTTGTGAGATCTAGCGGAACGTTTTTTGTAAATGTATAAAAGGGGATTTTGCTTGTACAGTTTTTCATTCCTTTCGTATTGGCAAGCGGGGTAAAAATAACATTTAAATAAACCCTCCAAACCCTTCAAATTACAAAGAGGATGTTTTATTTATGATACCCCGAAAAGGAACATCTTTATTTAAATGTTAGTAAGAAATAATAATGCCAAAGCCAACGCCAACTAAAGTGATGCGATCGCCGCCAGCCACTAGGGCTTCTGGGAGCGCTACAGTGTCTCCATCGGATACCGGCGAATCTTCTACAGAATATTTGACTCGTATGTACGAAAAGAGGTTAGCGGCTATGATGGCGGAATTTAAGAAGCAAATGCATGCAATGCAGAACCTTTTCGTCATCAATAATCAGCAACTTCAAACCAGTGTACAGCGACGTTTCTGCTGCAAAGTGAAAGGGATCATGCACCACAT